TATTATTTCATTAACATTTATTATTTTTACGATACAAATTTCTCAATGTAATTTTCATCATTTTATTAGGAAATTTTCAAAAAAATTCGAAATTTTACATCCGAAAAAAGTCATATCCCATGTAAATTTTAGGATGTAAAATTACATGAGGTATGATTTTTTTGGACGTAAATTTTCGATTATAAATTTCTCCCAACTTCTTTACAAGTTCGATTGTGCCGCCAACGTTAAAGATCTGCGTCCGTCCCTAGATATGCTATTCAACTTTACTGTCCAAATGGTTGTCAATTCAATAAATTATTGACATATCATCAATTTGACAGGTTAGTGGTGAAATTAACAAGAATAATTTTGAGATAATATATTAATTATTGATGATATATCAATAATTCATTGGATTGACAATTTTTTGGACATCAAATCTCAACTCTTTTACAAGAAGTAAAGTCAAAGTAAAAATCATGTCAAAACGGTTCCGAGTTCATCAACACCCTCCTCCCAGCCTCCCTTAACACTCCTTGCTTCCTCTTTTGCCCTACCCCAAGCAGCCTCCCTCTTACTTTTCATCAAGAAGGGGGTTGCGTGTGTTTTGTAATAAACCCTATGTAAAACCACCAGTCTAGTAACAAGGACAATAGGCGGGAAATTTTCAGAGAACGTTAATTAAAATATCCTGATTATCCGTCCAATTTCAATTCATTATTATTATTATTATTATTTTAATATATAATTTAAATTTTAAAAATATAAAAATTAAATTAAAAATGAGATTCTAGGGAAGGATCATGTTTCCCAACCCTTCCCCAATTCTCGATGGGAGCAAAGAGTGGCCATCCCCCACGATGTGCTACAATAGTCCTATAACTAGCGATCAACTATTGCAGCACTACTCATGTTATCATCGATCTAGGCGCAACTAGCAACAGTGATCACATCACACAATTCATGAGAAGTTATAATCCATATTCCTTCATTAGACAACGGTCCAATGCCACTTGAGAGTGTTGCAAATATAGGTTCTTGTTACATAGCATTACTAATAGTATTTTAAATTTTT